TGATGAGGATGTAATGCCCTTCTTGATCTCTTTTGATTGATTTAGGACTTTATTGTTTTCTTCTACTTTATTTGTCCTTTCCTCTAGTTTTTACAGTGTTCTTCCCATTTTTTTTTCCTTTCCTCTACACAAGCCTCTACCTTCTTCACGATGTTATTCATAAGGCTGTTTTCTTCGGCTTCTTCCAATTTTTGATGTTCTGGTCTAGATGTTGGAGGAGGGCTAGGTTCTGGTGATGCTGTATTGCTCTTCATTTTGTTGTATGTACTTCTGCCTTGATGTTGGCCTATCTCCTTGTGGTTCATTCTTTGTCTTTCAGCACACTTGGTTCACACAGCTCTGACAGATTCAGGAATTCTTTCTCACTTGTCCAGATGGGAGCTCTCTTGTCCAAATGGGAACTCCTGGGCAGGATGGGAGCTCTTGTCCAGATGGGAAGTCTGGGGCAATGGGAGCTCTTGTCCAGACAGGAAGTCCGGGGCAGGATGGGATGTGGGGGCTGGTCTCTAAGTCTCAGGAAGTGGCTGGGTTCTCGGGCTGATGGGCATGGGGGCAGGGCATAGAGATTGCTAGGTCTGCCGTGGGTCTCTGGTCCATAAGGGAAGTCAGCGGGCCTGCTAGTGAAATTTCAAAATAATTTTCATGCCTGATTAACCAGATCCATACATCCTAGCTAATTGTATTTCTCTGCCTTTGAAACTACTCAAATTTCTCTTGAGTTCTTCTTTAAATTCTTTGTTCTTTGTTTTTTCTTTAGGTTTTAATTAATTTATTGTTATCTATTTTGTTCACAGTGTGACACTCCAGGCTTTCAATAAAGTTTACTTTGAATCAGTGACTACCTGATTAGAATTAACCATAGAGAGGCAGCAATTTGGATAGAGAAGACACACAGGAAAGAAAGGGCAGAGACTAGAGTTTGAGCATCCTTTGATTCTGGGATGAGGAAAGAGAAATGTCTCTTTCTGAGTCAACAGGCAAAAAGCAAGATCATCTGGTTGCTACTCAATCTCTCTGAGCTATAGGTTTTCACCCCACTCCTGAGTCAGATTTATAAATAGAACAATAGAGACTTAATTTAAACCTATATATAGCAGATGAGGCAGAGCTGGGCCAGAGGACCTGAAGCCCTTCTGGGCCATAGCCTGAGTGGCCTGTGCTGTGCTGACTGGGGGCACTTGAGGCAGCAGATGATAATGAAAATATCAGTAGGTTCATGTGTAGTCACTAAGGCAACAGAAAAACACCAATTATCGTGTGTGTGTGTTTGTGTGTGTGTGTGTGTGTGTGTGTGTCCACATGTACACATGGTTCTATAGGCATGCACATGCCATGATTCCTGTTGAAGATCAGCAAACAACTTTTATTCCTGTCTTTTATTTATAAGAGTTGACATGGTCATGGTGTCTTTTCACATCAATAAAGAAGCCAAACTTCGACATCTTTTATGATTCTGTTCCATCCTCACTCTGAGAATGGAAGATATGGATATGATTATCTCGTTCCCGCTTTTATCAGAAATAGCTATAATTTCTTTCTGTTTATTACATTGTTGGCTCCTTATCATAAGTATTATTACAGTGTTGGTCTATACTTTAGTACGCCTTGTTGCTGTTATAAATCACTGACCAAAAGAAAGTACTAGAGGAGATGTTTTATCTTGCTTTCCTGTCCTGATTACAGTCTATCACTGAAGAAAGACAGGTCAAAAACTCAAGCATGAGCAGAGGCAGGAACCATGGGGGATTATTGCCTACTGCTTGATCTCCATGGATGACTCAGCTTGCTGTCTTGTACAATAATGGTCTATCTGCCCAAGGATGGTATGGACCATATTGAGCTGGGCTGTAGGAATCAAGGTACTAATCCCCAGTCCCTACCCAGGGTCCTCTGAGAAATTGTTTCTCAGGAGCTAGGGAAATGTGAAAGATATCCATAATAACATTACACACATGGAGAGATGCTCATCATTCTGTGTGCTCTTTATTGTTGTGCTCTTTGTTTCTTCCAATTTATTCTCCGTTACACATTCCCAAGTGCACACACGTGCACGCAAACACACACACACACACACACACACACACACACACACACACACAGAGACACACCCACACACACACACACATTCATAAACCACTTGTTAGTAATTAAAAAAAAACACAAAGCAAACTCTCAAGGACAAACATTCTGATAAGAGTCACAATTGGAAAAGGTTGGTCAGTTTAAATGGTGATTGATAACAACTGCAGATTGTAAAACATTCTGGCTCATCTCTTAAAGGGATAGCTACAAGGGTACAAGGAAGAAACTAAACCAATGAGAGATTTAAGGAAATGACAAATAATATATGTACTATTTTATGTGATTAATAATATCCAGACATGGTTAATTAGTTAACAGCCTTTTTCTCTTAATCACTCAAATCTTAGGACCTAAACATAGTTAGTCAACTGAAGCTAAAATATTACATTAAAAATTGGTGTACAAATAATACCAAGTGTCAATTGGTTTTTGAATCAGAGTGTGTAGGTGCTGGAGGAGGAAGCTTAGGGCAACATAGGTGCTATTGATCTCTTCAAAGACTAAGATATACCAAAACCAGATACCTGCACTATCACCTCTGGTTTTCTGTAATTCTTTTGAAGGGTTTTAATCCAACAAGGCCAGAAATGTAACCACCAATCCAGCTACAGACTCTGTGATCTACAATGGTGACCTGACTGCATGATACATAAGTACAATAGTGGCATAAATATTAGGGGTGCATTCAATCACTCTCTGAAAAGATTTAAAGTCCACTCCATGAATTGCAACTCACTTGACATGGAAAAAGATTCCCAGAACCTCAGAGTATACATGTCAAAGACATAGGGGAAAATCAAGTACTAAAATTCTGTTTAAGAAAAGTCAGCATCAAATTGAATCCTAATGATATTCTGCAATACTCATTGATCAGTGCATCACTCAGCTCTCACCAGAGAAGATGCTTCTTCTGGTAGATGGGAACTAACACAGAAATCCACAAGTGCACAGTGTGTGCAAAGAGTGAGGGACTTTGGAGCACATTGTCTTCAGTGAGTTGTCTCATCAATTCCTTCAACTCGGGCTCAGATATCTATGCGGAAGAGGAGACAGACAGAATTATGAATCAAAGGTGATGGATAACTCCAAGGAAGCAGTGTCTTCCAGACACAATGGCACTGATATATATATATATATATATATATATATATATATATATATATATATATATATATGAAAGCTCAACCAGTCTGTGTGAGCACACATAAGGTGTGTTCAAGGTCAAATGGTACAGTTTCAGAAGTTTTCTTATGATTGAGAGAGGAAGTGGAAACCAGTTCTCACCCCTAAAGAAGAAGCTATGTGAAATTGATACCTGCTTTGAAAGAGAAAAATCTGTTTTCTCCAGTGTCACTGAGTATATTTTTAGTCACTCTTCAGGACCAGTCCCATGCACAAGAGTAGTTGGATAACACAAAATGGACAGAATGGCATTTTTGTAGACATTTTGCCTGTTTCTTTTTCATATTTATAATTATATTTTTTATTTTTTTTCTTGATTTTGCATTCTACCCAAAACTTCCCTTCCATTCCCTCTTCTCAGTTCCCCCCTCCTTTATTCTCCCAGGCCTCACCATCCACTCTCCTTCTACTGTTTATGTTTAGGTTCAGGCAGGCATCCCATGCATATCCTGAACAATGGTTTATCAATCTGCAGTGAGACCTGACACTTCCTCCTCCACCATGTTTGGATGAGGCAATCCAGCAGGAGGAACGGGTCATCATTGCAGGCCACAGAGTCAGAGATATCTGCCTCCACTCTCACTACTAGGAGTCCTACATGAAGATCAAGTTACACAACTGTAACATATAGGCAGAGAGTCTCGGTCAGTCCTTTATAGGCTCCATGGTTGTCCTTTCAGCCCTTGTGATCCCAGGTTAGTTGATTTTGTGGATATTCTTGTGGTATCCTTGACATCACTGAGTCCTACAATTCTTCCTCTGCACCCACTGCAGGGTTCCCGACGTGCTGCTAATGTTTGGTTGTTACAGTTTGTCTAGCCTACATGATATTTTTGGGTAAAGATGGTGCACAAATTGTGTGAGTGACCAAGAGATGACTGGCACAGCTGGAGACCCATGTCCTGAGAGGGAGTCCCCCATGCGAGCCGGTCTCAGAAGTGGGATATCCCAGAGACCTAGGATAGAACCAAACATGAATGGCAAAAGAGTCAATGAAATGATCCTTGGTTATATTCTGCTATACTCATAAATTGATGTCTAGTCCAACTGTTGTAAGAGAGGGCTCAAGCAGCAACTTATGGAAACAGATATCCATTTGATTTTTGATGTTTATTTTGATTTTCATTTTTGTGGTTTATTATTTTTTCAGAGCTGAGGACTGAACCCAGGGCCTTACACTTGCTAGGCTAGTGCTCTATTACTGAGATAAATCCCCCAACTCTTTAGTGGTTTTTTTATGCCTTTTTATTCTACCCCTTTTCATTTGTTTATAAAGAAAAAGAGAGAAAAATAATATAGAGGTAGGTGGGTAGGGAGTTGGGGAGGACCCAGGAGAAATTAGGAGAGGAGAAAAACATTATCAAAATAAACTCTAGGAAAACTTCAATTTAATAGTATGCAATCCCCCCATATATAACATGGAGAAGAGACAGCCTACTCAAGAAATGCTAGTGGAAAAACTGCCATCCAGAAGTTGAAAAGAAGTATCTCCCAACCATTGTCCTGTTCCAAAATCAAGTCCAAATGGATCAAAGACTTTAGTGTAAGACCTGAAACCATGAAACTGATAAAGACAACATGGAGGAAACATTTAAATATATCAAATAATTCAGGCAATAAGACCACAAATTAACAACTGTGATTGCAAAAACTTAAATTTGTCTGCATTCACAAAAGTCATGAGCAAGGTAAGAGGCTGCCTACAAACACATGGAAAAATGTCTACTGTCTATATGAGATTGAAAAATATCTAGAATATAGAAAGAAGTAATAAACTGAGGCTGTAGACACAGGTCAGCAGTTAAGAACACTTGCTGTGCTATCAAAAAACCTGAGTTCAGTTTCAAACAACAATGTTGGCAGGCACCTTAAAACCACTTAAAATTCCAACCCTGAAGAATCCAGCTTCCTCTTCTGGCCCCCATGAGAACTGCATTCTCAAGTCACCTGCAGAT